CATGCCAAACGGCAAACCTACATATTGCAATATCCAAATAGAAGTGTTAAACAACTGCGAAGATCTGGGCAAACTGCTGTACGCGAACAAAACGGAATTCAATTACGGAACGCGGTACGAAGCGATGAAGGCCAAACAACTATTCATCTCCAATCTGGGTGTCGACTTTGCGATCAAGTCCAACCTGATGACCAAATACGGCACAAAAGTCGAGTGGTACGGCACGTTCAAATTACTACTGACAGACTGGCAGTACGCGCACTGGCAATTTTACTCCGCGACGAACGGGTTGTTCAGCATCAAGAAGTATTACAACGGGGTATTTAGTCTGTTCAAAGGCATCATGTACCGGTTGACGTGGAAACATTTATTGTACGTCAATGAGTTAAAGTGTCAACGACGAGAAGTTTGCTTGCAAAAGTGGCACGACTTGCTTGTGGATTTCCAGCAACTGTTACGCCTCCAAGACGATCCAGACCTCGTGGATTTGCTGGCCGCCATCGACCGCCTGGGCAGCCACGATGTAGCCATAAACGACGTTATTAACCAGCTCCGGGATAATCTGAGCATGGTTAACGCATGTCTCCAATGCATAGCCACCAACCGGATGACTCTGGAACCGGAAGAGTACCCACCGAGTGCGGATCAGGACACGACCGGCCAAGCGGCAATCGACTGCAATACCGTGAAAACCGCGCAGACTTTCATCGATGATCTCGAGTACGAATTCCAAATGGTCGATTTTGATGTCATCAGAGCGATCGTGACGTACATAGACGACGAGGATACATGGTAAACCGTGTTGTGTAACATAGTGTTAATATAATTATGTATTTTATTGTCAGTCAGTGTTATACTGCCATGGACTAACTAGGGCAGGCTCGATAACTTTAACACAAAATATTGTTATTACATTATTCGTTCTTTAAAAAAAAATATTATTGTTTTTAAAAAATATTATTATTTAATATTAAAATTGTAATTTAAAATACTATTCGTTCTATTAAAATTCTCAAGACAAATAAAATTGGTTTTATTCTTATATATTTTTTTCGATGAATCCAAGTTTGGCCTCAGAATAAGAGGAATATTTTTTTATTTGCCTCGAAATTTTTAAAAAAAATTGCAAAACCTCAATTTTACAATATTAAACAATTCTTTTACAATTGCAACATTAAATCTGAATTGAGCAATATCAAAAAATTATTAAAATTAATATTGATTTCTAACAAAATACACTAAATATACGACAAATTTGTGTTTGTTACAAGTTTTGAAACGTTAATTAAAAAATCCGGCAAAAAAAAGTCATATTTATAGTGTATAGTTTTATGCAGTATATACATTATGACTATAAGCAACAACATTTACATATTATTTGTCATAACTCCTTACAACAAAATATGTTGATTTAAACGATTAGTGTAAAACATTATTTTGATAGCTAAACTGGTTGATTAATATTTATTTAATAAGTATAATATAATCGAATTAAACTTAAATAGACATAATTCCTTACACGAAAGTAAGAAGTCAAAAAACATTCATTGGCAAAAATCCTACAACTTAGGTATTATTAATATTACATTTAACTACTTATATTGTCTATTTGATCCTTTGACTTTGCCTGCAGTTAATGTTAAATAATAAATATTATAATTAAGACTGCAGAACCGAAGTTTACGGATGTTAAAATAAAATTGCTGTCTTGTTTTAATTTTTAATTTTTTTTAATCTAACTTAGATTTGGCGAACTACATGCAACCAAGTGAATTTTTGTCCTACTAATCGTTGTGAGAGTTCAGTAGTAACATTTTAGAATCTTGATGTCATGTGATTTTGTGTGTGCATACTATGTGTGATACGAAGTTTTCATATTTAAGTAACATAAAAAAATATATGAAAAAAACAAGTTTGCTATAGAAGTACAAGAGTAGGTACTCCTAATCGTGGGTTTAGCAAACCAACATAACGTTATGATTTATGAAAAATATGGTTTCTATAAATAATGATCAGCGCCTGAGTTTTGAACAGTCAAGTTAGATTAGCTTAAGACGTTGATTGACACGACGATAATATTATTGTTAATCTTTAGACTTGCACTTAAGTAAAAACGTTACTACCTACTCCAAAGCAAAGCAACGCCGGCAGTCAAAGTAGATTGTGACAGATGAGTTTTTCAGGTGTAAAAAAATAGGGGCGAATTACATTTAAATAATATTAATATTTTATTTTAGTCGTGATGGGGTATAAATCGTCACTCGTCGACTTCATCGTAACACTATATTAATCATGATTAATGTCGAAATCAGTTTTGAACCATTTGACGTAACGTTCGGGTCACGGACACAATGTGTCATTACGTTACAAAAAATTAAAAAAAAGATTTATCAATATTTTTGTTTGAAAAATTTAATATGTAACTATTGTAGTTTTTATTATTATTTTTTATATAATACCATTACATAGACATTTTTAGCCACAACAATAATCGGAATAGTTGTTTGCAAACGGTCAAGTTTAACAAAATTTAAAAACATTTATATACATTTGAAAGTTTCAATTAGAATTAAAGAGAAGCATTACATCTTTACTCACCGTTTTATACTTGCGGGTCAATAGTTTAGTCGATGCAGGTAAACATCATCATCATCATCAATCGTCACGACGTCTTCTCATTTTCAAGCATCATATTATTTTTAAAAAATTTACTTCGACCTGCGTAATACATAAATATTTTATCATCGTTAAATAAATTAAATCATTTCACATAAATAGTGTAACATTTTTTTTTTTATTCGTCTTGGTATAATAACACATTTATTTATTATCTAAATATATATATTTTTTATATAATATATTAAATACATTATATAAAAACATATTTTTCGTTAACTCTTTGCGCTCTTTTACAAAATAATTAAAATATTAATACTTAATTAATAACAAATATGGACAGTGTATGTAAATAAGCTGCGCATTAGAACATTTTTTTTTTTTTTTAGCAGCAAATGTCCTAAAAAATAAAAACAGTCGTTCGACCCCACGAAGGAGCGCAAAGCTTTAAGCGTGTGATTACAAATTATTATTTACATACAACACGAACAACGTTATAAAATCCGAGAATTAAAACAAAATAAATATCAACAAATTTGTATGTTAAACACTTTTAAAAATATTTTATTTAACATTTATAATAATCCAACAACACGTTATCTTTGAAGAGCAAAAACAACAAAGTGTAAACAATTTAGTTAGATAAGTAAAAAGCTGCCTAAATAATGTTGTTTTCGTGAGAAATGTATATACCAACGTGATGTTTTTAACAGTTCTCGTTAATATTATTACCAATTTAATCCAAGATATGCAATTTTGGATTGTCAACATTAGTCTAAGTGTTTAAAAAGCAATAGTAACAATAAATATTATTAAGTCAAGTCAATAAGGCAATAAGAAAATTAACATCGTGTTGGAAAAAGTGAATTACTTAGCTACTACGCTTACAAACTATAAGAAACAACATTCAACAATAGTATAAAAAAGTAACACCGTAAATTGCTTATACACATAGGACGTAAATATCAGCCAAAGTTTAGACAATTACTTGTTTGTGAAGTATAAACATTATCATCTAATAATAATAATAATAATAATGGTTTAAATACTAAGCAGTTATATTTTATACAAGTCGCAAAATCACTCTGGATTTTGTAGCTCAAGAAATTTGAGAGAGAGCATTCGAGCAAAAAACATAATTTTTTCGAGAATCGCCGTAAGGTTAATTCTTTATGGCTCGCGTCGAGTACAAACTATAAATTCAACGTCAAGTTACAGTATATTATACCCGTGTTATGTAATATTATCTCGATTGTCTAACAAGAATGCATTTGTCGGAAATACACCTAAGGTTTTGTACGCGATAGACGTAGTAACAATAGAGTAAAAATGAGTAAAAAGAAATGCTACAAATATTAAAGTGACAGTATAAACTATACGAAACGTTAACAATAATTCGTCTAAAAATTACAAGTCTAAAGCGATTATTTAAATAAAGAGAGAAAAAGAGAAATAGTAATACTGAAAGAAAATCAAATTATTTATTTTTACAACTTTCTATTATTTCCCTATATTCAGTGGCGTAGTTGTAAGGGTATACTCGACACACATTTTTTTTTTGTGTACGCGTGTACTCATAATTTTAATCTTGTTACCCGCCAAGAGTACACATTATAACGACTACGCCACTGCCGGTTTACTTTAAGGGAATATAGAAGAGATGGTTCAGTGGTTTTCAGTGGTTTCAGCCACTGTACAGTGCGGTAAGTGGATAATGTAACCGAAGAATACGTCAGACAAATAGTCATTGTTACATCAATAATTGTTTGAAACACAATATAAAAATAATAATATTATAATCGTTAAAACAAAAAACAGTGTATACTAGTTTAAAAAAACATTAGCATACACTCGTAAAAGTAAATTTTGTAAAAGCTCGTTAATGTAAAAAAAAAAAAAAAATTAAAATACATTTCATCTTAGTGATAAAAACAAATCGGGACGGTGTAATTTTTTTATTTTGTTTTTAATTCTCACTAGTAACTTTTTAATAATACTTAATTGCAAGTTTCAGGTAAAGTAATCGGTATCTTGTTTTTCTATTAAAATAATAATAATAGGAAGAAAAAAAAGAAAACATAAAACCCGAATCGAAAATGGATTTGTCGTAGTCGTCGTCGTCTACGGGGAATGGATATTAACAAACGTGGAAACTTACTGGCCTTACTTTCACCACGCGAACAGAAGCATTCTAAAGGAACAAGATAATATTATAGAGATCAACAAATTTGTCGACATTTGACAATGCCTATAAATTATTTTTAAAATGAATAACAAACATTTCGGTGATGTCAACAATAGAATAAAGTTAATCTTTAACGCTGTCATTGGAAAAAAAAAAAAAATACCTCCAGATGCTTATTTTAAAACGATGATTTTTTAACAATAATTAGTGAACCGCGTATGCACACTGTTAACAGAGTAGTATTATGCTAAACATGACATTTATCGTTCCATTGAACAAAATAAAATAAAAATCAGTCTTTTCCTAAAGCACGAGCCAGATATCATCCACATGCCGTTATATTAATACCGCCACTAAATTCCTTGCATTATTACTATCATACGTGTATTTCTTGTTCTTCGCCTCTGCCGATGGTCGTGTAATGTATCTTTCGAGACGAAGTGTTGAATTCCGATCGTAAGCGTTTCAATCCGAATCTAGAAACGTACACCACAGCGCCCAGGAAGGCGATCACCGCACAAAAAACAAAAACCGCCACAAGTTTGTGTCCGCCGTGGTTACTGTCAACTAACGTGGTACGCACGGGGCTCGGACATTCCGTGTGATAAGCGGCAAAGGGGTCCAATGGATTTTTCTCTCCAATAGTGCATCGAATCGTTTCGTTGTTTCGAACGTTCACGCGTGTGGTGCGTAACCAACTGTAGATATTTTCAATAGCGCAACCACACAAAAAACGATTGTTGGATAAGTCGATAGCCAGCGATTGGTTGTTGTGGTGTACACGATCCAAAGCGGAGAGCTGCTTTTCTGGAAGTGTCTGTATCTTGTTGTTTTCCAGGTCCAGGAAACGCAAACGGGACAAGCACTCAATGTTGAAGTTGATACCGGTCAGTTCATTGTTGCTGAGGTGTAAATCAAGCATGGACGGCAAACGGCAAAATACTCGTGGTTCCGTTATAATACTTATTTTATTATGTTCCAAATGAAGTTTGACCAAATTACTCAAATTGCTGTTGAGGAATACTTCGTATAAGTTGGTAGTAATGTTGATCGTATCGGTGTCGGCAAATGCATTGGTCAAATGCAGTTCGTATAAATTGTTGAAATTTGAAAATACTCTGAAAATTCAAATTCAATAGTTATATAATGCCATGTAATTATACAGTTATTACATTTTTAAGCAGATTATTTAAATAAAAACTGCCGAAGTATGTTAAATTTCAGTTAAGTACACAAAGTTAAATAATAATAGTAGCAATCCTCTTTCAAAAAGTATTATTTTATTTTATAAATTTATTGTTGTTAAGAGTTTACAAAAAATTCATTTTTTTTTAAGAAATATACTGATTTTTAGATTTTTAAAATGGAAAAATTGTTTAAAATTAAACAGATTAGGATTCTATAGAAAAAGAAAAAAATAGCATCAATCATCCAGTACAAACCTAGTGTCGAATAATTCAATAGAAACCAGTAGGTGGCCTTAGGCATGGTAACACAATACAAACACGATGAGATCACACCTAGTAATTATTTTGACCGGATGATCTCATTGTTCAAAATGCTATTTATTATTATTTTTCCCACCGAAGATACATTCTTTGCAAAGTATTAAATTGATAGTTGGCAAATTAAATTGCAATACATAGGTAATACGATATTATAATATAATGTAGATGCTATATACATGAATAGAACTCAATTTTAATTTTCCTACTACAATATTAATTGATTATTACGAGTCGTCAACTGTGTGTTAATGATTTTAGCTTATGTACCAAAAGACAGTTAAAACGTTAACGCCCAACATTGTTTGCCATTGATGTAAATGAACTTACGCAAAACCTGTATTTAAGACGGAATCAAAATAAGACTTCTGCATTAAACAATTTCCATCCTCTTTAGTAAAATATACACGCAAATCAGTTTGGGCGGGTATTTTAGACAGGTTTTACTGCTAAGAGACGATTTTCATTTGGCCAGCTTTTTAGTTTCGTGGCTATTACCGTTATTGGCGGCAACCGAAACTCACCTCGGATGATGATAGCCCAGCTCGCCGAGATCTATTTGGTTGTTGTTGAGTACAAGCCGTTCGACGGCCGACACATGATGATAACTCTTTCCTTTGATTAACTTGATACTGTTGTTGGACATGTCCAGATAGCGTAGCTTATCGATCGTACTGTTTGTGCCGAATATGTTCGACGGCAACTCGGTCAAATAGTTTCCCGTGAATATGAACACCTGAAAATAAAAACGGTAATCGTACTGCTGTCATGAGACATTCGTCGATCGGGCACTCACCTCTACTTCAGCGGGCAGGTTACCAAACACTTCCAGACTCTTGGCCGTCGACAACGACGTGTCCGTACAGTTGACGACGTACAGGTCTTGGCGGTCGTACGCGGTCTTGCCGCAGTAGCACATACTCAGTTCGGGTCGGACGCACCTGACCAATCCGGACTCGACCGCCACAGCGGCCGCGCCGAACAACAACAACAACGCCAACAACATTGTCGACGATTTTCTCGGTTGTTCCAACGCCATCGGACGTCTAAAGGGCAGAAGACACAAAACAACGACGATATAAAAAAACGGCGGGGTTCGGGTGGTAAAAGTCAAAATGTCACACAACAAACGGTGAGCGATAAAAAAAACACAATAATATTATTGATATTATTATTGATAAACACGAACCACACGCCTCGGTCGTCGGTATCCGATTGACTGGCCTGGCCGCTAGTGTTAGCACTGTGCACACCACTACATCAGCAGCTACTACTAGCTGAATATGCCGCCGCCGCTGCTGTCGACGCTGCCGTGATCGCCGTGAGGATACATGCGAGATAACGCGACCGTACGCCACTGGGGCCTGGGCTAATAATTGATCAAATCATCAAAACCGCAAAACAACGACGACCGCGTGTATGTGTATGTGTGTAAAACTGTATTGTGTTTTTTTTTTTTTTTATCGAACAAACGTCGACCTAAATAAACATTACACACACACACAAACACACAACACGGCACAGACTTTTGGACTTTGGCGTTCGACTGCACCCGCACCCCGCAGCAGCAGCAGCTCACAGCTGTATAGTACGCTGTAGTCCGTACGCGAGTCGAGGGAAAATTGTTTTTTTTTTTTTACTTATTCTTTTCGGACCGCGTTTTTTTTTTTAGGTTATCGACTCGACTGCGCCACGGAGGTTGCAGGTGGCCGCCATATTGTTTCCGAGACCGCTCCGGTTTGAAACGGGTCGTTTTGGGCGATTTTCAAACAACCCAACGATATCTCATAATATAATATATATATTTTTTTTTACTACGCTATTATTATTGTTATTCGGTTTTTATCGTTTTGTCGCCAATGCCCAACGTATATTATTATTGTTGTTATAATAATTATTAGGTTCCACTCGTACACCGTACAGCTTTGATTGTATGTGCGCGTGAGGGAACGCACGTATTACGGACTTTAGTATGCGATATCGACCTGGCGACTACGCGACACAGAAAACGGTCGGTGGGGATGTAATAACAACGTGTCGCCGCCGGTCAAAACCTATAATAATACTATTATTATTATAGTACGTTATAAAATGAATGCTATGAATGATACGAGTGCACAAAATGTTTTTTTTTTCATATAGCCTTTATTTAGATCAAATATTTAGCTCGACAATATTATACATATTATGTGCAAAATTAACAATACAATTAAACTAGGTAGCACAATGTAGAATTAGAACAATAACGTAACAATAAAACGCATTAGTTAAAAATATTAAATAGAAAGAGAGGCAATGAATAACGGGTATGGAGCGGGAGTTAAGAACAGATTCAGCAGAAGGAGAAAGGATATCGTGAGTAGCTGTAGGAAGTTCTGAAAAGAGCTGTTCTGTTGAAGGACAAAGTAGGACAATTATTAAGAAGGTAGTGGAAGAAGTCCCCGAGGACTTTAAAGACAATAGGAAAGAAAATGTGACAAAAATCAAAAGGAGATTATGTGCAAACATTTTAACGATAATAAACAAAAAAAACAAAGACTTTTTCTCCGTTCTTTGGAAGAACATTGAATCGTGGATAATATCAATATGTTTTTAAATTTGTCGAATGCCCCTCCCTCCCATCTAACCCTTCCCTCGTTTTCACTTTCCCTTTTCTCCCAAATCGTCTTCTAACCCGGATGAAATCTAAATTATTTCAGTCTCTTATCATTTATATTCATTTGTCGGCTGTCTCTTATTAATAGGCGATAATGTTTACGAAAATTTCGGATTGATCCCCTGTCTAAAAAACATAATATCCATGTTAAAAAAAACTGTGTTTTTATTGTGTTTCCCCTGTAGTAAGTAAGCTAGATATGTAGATTAGTTAGGCAAGTTATTTTATGGCCTAACCTACTGAGGCTTACATTAAAAATAATATAATATATTATAAATCTGATCGCCATTTTAGCAAAATAGTGGTATTTATATATGATCACCAACGACCCACCCTACATTATAATAATGTTATATGGTGTATATTATGTATACATTGGTGGTAAACACATAGTTCACGGTCCACAATATACGGCAACCGTTATGATAACGAAATGGACGCAACGCATACCTATTGGTCACCACATTGGTTTGCGTCCAAAATTGGATTGCCAAAAATGTACATGGCGTGGTTTACCCTTGTATGTTGGATTTATTAGATGTGGTTTTAAAGATTTTCCGCCACCGAAGGGCAAAAAATATTTGCCGCCCCAACACAATAAAATAATTTTCATATTTCAAGGAAAGATTTGTAAAGCGGATCTATGTATTTGTATAATTAAGCATACGTTATCAGAAATAGGTAGGTAATTCTAAACTCTATGGCGAAATAAAAATATGTGCTATGAAATTCCGTATTGACTATTGTGTAAAATAAGCATAATTTGTACTCAATCCATGGTCGATAATATTATATTTTAATTTTTAAATAGGGTCTTATGGCCGTTGTCACCGGTTTGGCCAAACTTTTCAATGCAATTTAGCCTTATTGCGGTGTTGGTAAATTATAAATTAATTTTTAAGCTAAACCGGCAAGAACGGCCGTTGTTGCAGATGATAATCTAGTTTTGGCGAATTTAGCACCGACCAGATTCAAAAAACAACTTTATGACCAAAGTGACGTGACTTCTTACAACTTTTAGTGCGTCTTTGTAGTACGCTAGGGTGTACACCCTACGATTTGTTTGAAAATTACTATTGAAAAAAACAAGGTTTAATAGCTTAAAACACGCCTCGAACCGTGTTAAAAGTAACCAACTATCAATTATCTAGTAAAAAAATTATAATAATAAATAAAAACCAAAAAAAGATTTAAGAGGCGTTCAAGATCCCCAAACCCCTACCCTGTTCCTTCCCTTCAAATCGTCCTTGACCTACGCTCTAGCGGATATTTAATATTCATTATATATGGCAATAGCCTTTATAATAATATATATGATTACATTATCGAAAATAACGAGGGCACGTACTTACACTGTACAAGTATGAATATACAAGTATACAAGTGTACAAGTATAAATATGTGTAAGTACACATATTGTGCGAAATTCAGTCGTGTCGATTGTCAATAAACTCGAGTTTGCCACCAAAGAATGTCACATAGGACTTGGTGACAATTGTGCAAACATGTACTATATTATTCTTGAATACCTACATATTTAATAATATATACATTATAACCGCATTACACGTACTTCATATAAATTGAGCACACGTGACACACAATCCCCGAGGGATAAACATTACAGTAGGTAATAAAATATTGTAATAATTTTATTAAAATACCAAAATTTTTTTTGTTTATTTTGCTAGACTGCGACCTAAACATTGGACCTCTTTACCTACTTACTAGTATAATAATTAATGTAGAACCTAAATAAATATACAGATATGGGTAAAATAAATGAACTTTTCGTCTAAGATACCAATCTATATTGCTAACTAACCTGTACTATTTTATTTTTTGTGTGTTAATATATATACTTAGTCATGAAATTATTATAGTATAATATATAGGAGGGACACGCAACTGTTCGACAGTCGATGACACGCGATACATTTTGAAAAGCTTTTTCGTGTTTTATTAAAAAAAAAATATGTGATTCTCGTTTTAAAAAGTTGCCTAATAAAATATTACAGGTGTTCGCCCTATTATAATTATTACTTCTATAGAGTATTAAATATGTATCATGCTTGGATGTAAAAAATATATTTATTTACATTTTTTTCTTACAATATTAATTCTTTAACTATATCAAAATTCTAAATAATTTTATTAGCATGACTTGTAGTAACTACCTATCCTTATGCCATTTACTTAGGTAAATAATTATTATACAAACAAGGATTAAGAAAGTCGATATTGAAATCGTTTGACTGCTATCGTATATTATATTTTGTTTACACACGCACCATCACAAATAAGGAAATCGTGTAACATAATATCATAATGAATTTACAACACAGAAGCGCTTGCTTATCTGCCAGATATAAACTAGGTAATAAAAGTATTTATTGTTTTTAGTTTGTAAGTATTATTTATATGCGTGGAAAATAATAAATGCTAACGTTATAACGTATTTTATAGTACCCTTAACGGCCATAAAAAAATTAATTTAATTCATATAAATATAATATTTATATTATATTATACAGTATGTCCTAGAGGTGTGTAGCACTCAAAACAGCTTTGAATCGAAGTTCTATTTTTCACATTGTAGCGAGGACAATTAAATTTTAAATATTAAATTTTCACTACAGCTACAAATTTAGACACTAAATCAAATTCGCTTAAGTGAAACCGACTAGATGTAAGTAACATTCGGTAAGTTTAAATTTATCATCCAAAAATAATTATATATTATCGTGTATGAACTATGAAATCATTGATTTTGCACTTGTGCAAGTGCAAACTATTAAATCTATATACGCCGAGACCAAATTTACATAGTTTTCAGTATTTGTATGTAACATTCGTATAAATACATGCACAATAGTCCGGTTAACACTTGTACATTTCTGTCAAAACTTATGTGCAAACGATATTTTTTTTTTGTTCAGGTGGTCAGCTCAATCGAGAAACACCTACTAAACAGAATTGCAAAGTGTAAACGTTTGCTTTTTAAGTTTTCATGGTGTAATTGTATATTGGTGGGTCGTGTTATGGATATCAAAAAATGTGTAGCAACGTATAATTTATTACTTATTATTTATCTTTTTTTTTTTATCGAACTGTCCATCATTTTAACGATGACATATTTCGTCATGAAAATACATATAACATTACCAAGCCGGTTTAATTGATTCGTTCGATTATATTACCGTGTAAACAACTTGTTTAAAACAAGTAAGTGTAAAATGCACGTACTTGTAAAACTTGTGTTGGTACTTTTATAAAGACGGATAATTATAAAATAAATTATATATGTTTACATTAAATAGGCAACAACTAACAAACATATTATTTTATGTTGGCGTCACACGTCATGGTCTTGACAGAATTAAATCCTCATGATAATCTCAATAGAAAGACGCTGCCTTGAAAAAACAAATAAATATATTCTTACATAGCTTGAAAGGTATGATGATTGTATACTATCTGAACCAGTCGTATAATAATATGGACATGATGATGTAAACGGCGACCACGAGGTAAATTTCGAAAAACAATTCCACAAACAAATGTATGGAAATCGGTTTTACAAAGTAGAATTAAAAATTTTAAAAAGAAACACCAACAATTAGGCAAGTTAAATATTAGTATGTAAGTTACATTATAGCGTAAACGCACAACACCAACAGTGAAACGGTTTTCAGACGTTTATAAATATTATTGCTACATTAAAAAAAAACAATAGAATTATTACCGCTCGTCAATGGAAAGTCCATTGACCTCGTCAACAATCTACACTTGAATTATTATTACAATAATGTATGTACTCGGAATGTGCGTCTCCATATGAATAAAGACATTTTTCCGTGTCTTCGCGAACGAGAAACGTACCTTTACTTCAGTGTAC